GCTGGATGCCTTCCAGTTATTGACAGTATTGGCCTAAACACTGTAGTGTTCCTGGAATACATATAAACATTTGAGTGCACACACATTTTGTTTATATCCCAGTGTGGGTATTAGGAAGGGATGATGCCTAGGAGGGTGATCTCACTTCGCAGAGCTGTCTCGCCCGTCATTAGTTCATTGCTTTAGGCCTATTAAGTGTAATAATGATGACAACAACAACAGGACTAAACTACGCAGCATTTGCCTGGAAGTAAACTGTACAAAATGTCTTGCATACAGAATCCTTGTAATCATAAAATATAAAAACAAGTTACATTATATGAAATAAAATAAAAAAACTTATACAAATAATGTTTTTCAAATAACACACAAAAGTATGATAATCAAAACTAGAAACTATAAAGGCTGTTGCATTAAAAGTCTATGAAAGTGCATGTAAGGTAAGATAATAGATCACATCCAGCTGACGTTCAAACATGATCAGACGATGCATATGACTAATAAATTATCGTACAAAGAATATAAATGTGTCCGTGCGTGTGTGTGCGTGCGCGAGCAGGCTGAGGATGATCCTGCTCTCTAACCACTGCCTCTGGTTTTTGTGTGACTTTATTCGTGTGGGTTTCTTTTGTCCTCAGTTACTGTGTAGCTCATCATTGAGGCTTGCAGGGAATTTGGAGTGGGATGCTGCTTGGAAGCTCCAACCACATGACTTGGACACACTGTGAAGGGCAATAAACACATTTTTGCAAAGTCAACTACATTCAGAAGTTTACAGTAACAAAACTGCCAGACCTAGAGGATGCCAGCGCCACCCTCCCACTGTACTTCAACACAACTCTGTTCTATCTCCAGCTATTGTTTTTAGCTGAAAACTGAGGATAGCAACCCCGGCCTGTTGAGTTAGTTATTCTGTGTTCATGTGTGTGTTGCTCATGCCGCAGCAGGTCAGGACAGCTGATTGGTCTGAGCTAGTTTAACCAGAAATCCTCTGTAGATTAAACACTTTTATGCTCTAAACATTTCACACAGCGCAGGGTGCCTAAAACTAAACATGTTTTGAAATGAACCTAATGTAGCTGACATAGCCATCTGTCTTGAATCTGCTGCTGGAAATATGCTCTGGCTCACAGACCATTATGTCCCAGGTCATTGAATAGATTTAGTCCCTTATGGGTTGAAAATGCCTGTTTGTGAATCACAGCCTGGGTTGTGGCCTTGGCAGGACAAAAGATGGCGTTAGAGAGGATATCCCAGAGCCAACCTGGGTTTTTGGAGTAAAGCCCAAGTGTTAAGACAGTTGGATGAAGGGTGAATTTTACCAAGGAAGTGATGACCTTAATGCCACAGCCACACTTTATTATTCATTCATATCAGATTGGTAGACTACAGGTGAAATGCATGGAGGACTGTATTGTCTGGATGAAAAAGCTGTAATGTAACGTAATCCCCATTGAGTAATGTAAAACCACCTGCAGCAGCTATAGTTTAGGTGCCCATTAACCAGCAAAACATTGTATCTCTAGTTGCTTTAGTGAAGCTGCTTATTTATTAATGGTGAAAACTTGCCACAAGTTATGCTTAATTGTTCCACACAACTCTATGGTCCAAATGTGTGTAATTGTATTAACGTGAAGCGGGGCAAATAAAAAAGGAGAATTTCTCTGCAAATTCATCCACGGATAGGTAGACAGAAATGATTATTGAGGAATTAAACTTGCTGATTTAACTGTAGCCAGTTCTTAGAAAACATGGTTCAGCTTTTACAGTGTTTAGTAACATTACCACATTAAGCAATCATTTTACTGCCTCAAAATAGGCTTATTTATAAGTCTCACAAAATGTGTGCCCTTTGTAGCAACAGCCCAGTCAGTCAGTTTGGGAGTGAATAACTATCTTCAATCTAATTAGGCTTAATAAAAACCTGTAATAGCATTAGTGGGGTGGTGTTTCAATTGGGAGTGACGCGGTAATTAGGGATGAAATTCATGATAATATAAAGCTGCTGCATCGAAGATTACTGTGCAATGAAGAGAGAATTATGTGTCACTGCAAAGCCTTTACGTATGGGAAAACAGACATTGTAGCTTATAATTGAGTTCAGATTTCTTCATGGTGGACAGAACAGTGAAGCCCAAGTGTTTAGTAAGTAGTGGTAAGAAAAAGATGGAAAATTTAAAAACAGGGTCTCTGGATAATTTCGTCTGCTGAAGTAGTGAAAGGGTCTTGATGCAGCTTGGAGCCGCCTCACCTTCAGTTTCTGTGGAGAGTGGATGAAAAAGCGTGTTCCTGCCCTGGTTTCTAGCCTGTTTATGCTCACCGCTGACTGATGGGTCTAGTGACGCAGGGCCGGCTGAATGAGCTATAGAGCCAGATAGAGAAATGCAATCTCACAGCTGTCTGGAGACTTGCGAGAGAGAGAGAGAAATGTTCCTCTGGCAGTGGGCGTGCAATCAGGATTTATCACTCTCTCTAAACCCACACACACACGCACACACACACACCACTAATGTAGGGTACTACTGAAGAGGAGCAGTGAAATGAACAGCCTAGCCAGATGCTTTAGTCTACTGTGGGAAGCAGAACGCCAGAGTCTGAAAAGATAAAGGAGGGAATGGTGATTTGACACAGTCTAATTTCCTGGTTCACTGCGTGGTCGAGTTAGGTCACAGTGTTGATAGCTATAACAGGTCTTAGTCAAACAGTAGTGTGCTTTTATTAGACATTTTGGAGGATCAAATGGGTGGAGTTTGATGCATAAAAACTTGGAAACCTTCATTCATTTGGCACAAAAACAACATCTGGTGCTATGCAGCAGTTTGCTCCACGCGCTGTGTACTGAAACACAAACTAACAGCCACTGTTTGACCTGGTCTGGGCTGTAGGAGTATGTGAGGCAAAGAGAGCAGATGATTAACTAAAGGTTGTTCAGAAACGAACTGTGGGACTCAAACAAATCTTTTACTTTCTATCTTACCCCCACCCCACTCCTCACTCCAACCAGTGCTCACCCTGTCTCTCTCCTAAAAGCTGTGATTGGTTGTAACATATTTAAACCAACTGTCCACATTTTGTAGCCTCACTGGCATTTAAAAACCTCTTGTGACCGACGGGTGCGGCATTAGTCACTTCTCTCAGCCACCCGTCGCCTCCCTCTCGGCCTCTTCGGTCGTTTTGGGTGGCGGCCTGTTGCACTGGTTGCGCCTATCTGCTCTTATGTGTTGTTTGGGATGCATAGCTATTTTTTTTTTTCCCAGTGTCTCTCTCTCCCTCTCTCCCCCTCTGGCCCTGCTCAGCTGCTCCAGCCATCTGTGCAAAGGCAAACAGAGAACAGAGGGATGGAAGGAGAGCAGGAGCTGTGGGGGAGGAAAGAAATCGAGGAGGAGAAAATGGTCAGGAAAAAGAGAGGACCAGTGGAAAATGAAAGAAGGCCTTTTGACATGTGAGATTTAGTTTAGAGGATGAGTAAAGGATCAGCGAAGAGGGAAAGAAAGACGAGGAAGAGTGTGCGGGAATTGTTTCCAGGAAGCTAGCGGCATAAAGATGATGTCTGTTCTCTTCTAGACATAGGGCAGTGAGTGTGTTCTTACAAGTTTAGGTCAGTGGAAACTGGGATGACTAGTGATGTCTGGATTTTACAGTTCGACCAGCAATCATCAGCCAGTAGTGAGCTCATTTTATGTCTTGTTTTTCCCTCTCTGTCTCTCTCTTCCCTTCTCCCTCTCTCCCTCTCTCTCCCACCTTCTCCTGTTGTTCCCATGCTCCACAGGCCAAGCCTCTTCCTCTGGGCCGGCCTCTGCGTTGCCTCAGAGTTTGTCTCACCACTAAGCCTCCTGCACAGCCGGCTCCTTGCTCTGTTTGTAAACTTTGACAGGGCAGTTTCCTGCTATACCCCCCCACTTCCCTTTCTACTTCTCTCAAACCTGGGAAAAAAAAGATCCTTTTCCCCTCATCCTTTATTTTGAAAGTCACTGGAGAATCGGAATAAGGGACAGTTGTGATACAGATAATGTATGACAGTGTATTACAGATGGTTGCCCTTTATCAGGCTTCATATGCTTCACGTCCCCATTTCTTGTCCTCAGTTGCTCATGTCTCTGACTGCTCTGTTTATGACCCATGAGTCAAACTGTCTCCCTGTCTTTGGGTTTACTGTTCATGCCTTGACCCACTTAGCAAATACATCCAAGCCTGTTTCTCACCTCTCCTTACTTTCTTTTTTGTAACCATTTAACTCTAATAGTTGGAAGTTGCGTGTGTTAACATTATTACAGGTGGCATATACAATCCAGTTGTGTGTGTGTGTGTGTATGTGTGTGTATAGTTTGCGTGCTAAAGCTTTTTGCACTCCCTTAAGTGTTCTGTCGCGGAAACCTAGTCTTCCACACTAGTGACTCCAATGCCATTTTGTACCAAGGAAAAAAAGAAGCCAACCCGTAGCAGTTCCACTGGCCAAGTGTGTCACTGAGCTTTGTAGTGTCACAGAGGGGACCATTTGCCACTGCACTGCAGTTGGCATTGAAATTAATGAAGGCTATTTGTAGAATATGTTGTTCCTCCAGTAGACATGTTGTCCTCTACTGCCCCTCCTTCTGTGGCCCCTGAGACCTCACACACACTGAACTGATCATAAAATGTGCTGGTCTAATTGTTTATCCTGAGGTTTCTCTCTGAGCATGACTTATGAAGCTGTGATCTATTTTCCTTTTATGGGCGCCTGTTCTATGTCTTTCTCTATGTATTATACTGTCCTATATACGCTTCACCCCCCCCTGGGTTTATTATTGTGTCTGCTAACTCTTGGATGCTTGTTTAATTTTTTTTCCATCCGTGATGCTGAAGCTGAAAGAAGATAGAAGCCCCTGGTTTATCTGATTCCTAAGGCTAACAACATTCCTGGTGCTCTGTCTACTGATATCAGAGGCAGCAAACTGCTTTTCGTGTCTGGTCTTGCTGTTGACTAACTGTGTTCCACTGTATATTATCCTGTGTCTCTCCAGACCAGAGCTTGCTGTCTCCAGAAAGCCTGTAGACCTGTGGCCATCCTGCGAGATTTAAGTCAATCAGCCCTGCCCTGCAGAGACGGATCACTACCATTCTAGGGGAGATGAAGCCGGATGGGGTTGCCACGGCAGCGCTGGAGCCAATGGAAGCATTGGAATCCAATCCAGAAAATGAGGCAACACCAGCCGTGGAACAGGACCCCAACCAGGCAGCCAGTCCGGCGGGAGAGGAGATGCCACAGCAGCCTGTAGGAGAGACGGGCCAGGTGGAACCCGAACCAGAACAGGCCAAGGAAACCCCAGCTGCCAAGACCAGCAGCAAGACTTCAGGAGACTCCAAAGCCAAGACTACCAACAAGGCCACAGCCAAGACAAAACCTACCACAGCTAACCCAACGAAGACCACATCTGGCTCACGGCCCAACACTTCTCAGAGCCGCCTCTCAAATGGCGTGTCTAAGCCTCAGACCAATGGAGTGGCCAAGAAATCCACACCTGCTCCGGACAAAAAGAGCACCCCGACCTCAGCTTCCTCCAAAAAACCAACAGGAGCTGCAGGAGCCCCAGCCTCCAAGAGCAAAGTGGGTGAGAAGAAAGCCACAGGGGCTGCCCCCGCCACCAATGGTGCAAAATCAACGACCGGACCAACAGCAGCCAAGAGGACGCCATCCACAACTGCTAATGGTGTCAAAACCAGCACCACTGCAGCTGCTAAAAAGCCCCCAGGTTGGTGAAAATGTCAGCACAGGACAAAAAGTTGAGATGAGCGCAAAAGTATAATTCAGAATGTAGGCCATTTGTGACAAACACATCCACAGTAAGTGTAGCATAAACTCTAATGAGGTATATTCATTGTAATGTTATGACATGCACATAAGATATATTCAGCACACATATTAGACATGCCCCAGTGACTGCTGCTGATCTAGAAAATGCATTTGCCCTAGATCTGTATGACATACTGTGTGAAAGAAATATATCTGACCTTTATCTGTGGTACAGTATATAGTAAATACTATATACTGTAATACTGTACTAGATGATACTGTTCTTTTTATACACACATTTATTAACTTTTTCTCCTCTCCTCTCCTCTCCTCTCCTCTCCTCCAGCTCCCAAACCTGCCTCTGCAACTCCCACAAAGCCCAGCTCGACTGCCTCACCTAAGCCTGATAAGCCCCCTGTTTCCAAGACAACCAGGTAGGTGTGACATTTGTGTAGAGCTGAGGCCTCGCCTATGCTATCTATGTCTGAAAGAGTTTTTCTGTGCGTCTGTAGATAGCACAGGCAGTGGTCTATAACTGGTCCTCTTCTCAGGCATACTCCAAGAAAATATGTTTCTAACTTGCCTCCTTTTATTAAAATCCTTTTTCGGTGATTTGCCAGCAAATCAGCACATTTACTGCGGTGAATCCAAATAACTTACCAAATAGATAGGAATTGCTGGGAATGAGTTCAGTATTATAAATCTTCTCAGTGCCAAGTGAGAGGCAGTTGGTTCAAAAGGCTTCGCTTGGCTACAGGTTCAAAGAAGACCCTGTTTAAGAAAAAACACCCTGGAGGAATGAGGGACAATGATCCCCCACATAGAGGCTTGGAGGGGCTGGGCATAAGTAGGCCAGCAACCAGCCAATGTCAGAACAAGCCTTAGAGGAATGCCTCACAGGGCTTCACCAGAGCAAGCATTATACAGCATTATTAATAAAACAAGTTTTAGGAAGGAGGAGGGGGTTAGAGAGGGGAGGAGGGGCAATTGGAAGAATTAAATGAGAGCAGGAATATGATCTCAATGCTTTGTTTCTTCAGAGTGGTGTACGGAAACGAAGACAAGCACTCTGAGTGTCTGTTTGTGTGCAATCAGGTCAGCATGTGTTCCTCACCTGAGTCACACTGGGAGCATGGTGTTGGGTCCTGAGGTGACTGGGTGATATACAGAGAGAGGAGGCTGAAGGAGGCCTTTGTCTGAGACAGTGAGGATCGTGATCCGATAGAGCCTTTGGCAACATCACTGTTCTTTCAGTAGAATCTAATCCATTTGCCTCTTCCTGGTTGTTTATTTGTTTTAGGAATCACCTCTTTCTTCCTTAATGTTTTGCCTCCATGGTGTATGGTATGATGTGTTATGTAACCATGTTGGTATGTCTGTATATAGACACATTGTTCAGGCAGAAACATTTGCATCAAACAGATTGGACCATTTCTTGCAAACTGTGGGCAATCCCAGGAAGATGCTTTAAAAGACATTTTGGAAAATAGAAAACAGGGGGAAGCAGCCAGCCTGGCTCTGTGTAGAGGTAAAAAAAACCCACCTAACAGCACCTCTAAAGCTCAGTAAATAACTTGCTGTATCTTGTTTGTTTAATCTGTACAAAAGATGAAATGTTAAAAGAAGAATTTGAACAGGATACAGCGTGTATAGGGATCTTAGTGAGCTTCAGATTTGCTGGTGGATTTTGTTACCTTTGGACAGCTCCAGGCTAGCTGTTTAGCCCTGTTTGCAGTCTCTATGCTAAGCTACATTAGCAGTCTGTTGGTGGTAGCTTCATATTTACACACAAGAGTGGTATCAATATCACCATCTATTCTCAGCAGGAAGGTGAATAAGCGTATTTCCCAAAATGTCAATCTTTTCCTTTAAGTGGATCTAAAGCACATACTATAATAAAAATGAAGGTTTCCACAGTTTCTCTGTTGCAAATCTCATATTTAGAGATGAACTTTCAGTCAAGTACCCTCTCTTGAGCATGGGGAACACCCAGTGCTCCTACAGTTGTATTTGTTGGAAAAGGCTCTGCTATTGTTGTTAACCAGATCTATACAAGAGATTAGGCTGCGAGCACAGAATCCATCCACAGTAAAGCTAGGCTGATGTTTGTTAGCTCATGGCAGATATATCAGTGTCAGTGTCAGTACATATAAGAGGTCATTCATAAACAGTGTCTCCATTACATCATTTGTCCACCCAAGAGCTCTGATAAGTCCAAACCAAATTATGTTGATTTGTTTTAACCAGATTCTTTTAACTCTCAAATATCAAAATTTGTATTGGCCTCAACAATCCAGTATCAGCCGGGCTCCCGTTCACAGGAGGAGAGAGAGGAAGGAGATGTCAATAGATGTTGCAAGTGTGTTTCCTCCACCTGAGAGCAAGGTGTTTTAGATCCCCCCCCCCCTCCACACTCCACGTGCCACTGGTAGCAGTTGGACTGTAGAGATTAGACTAAGATTACAGCTTTATACAATGGTTAATGTGCAAACATCTCATTAAAAAGTATTACACATGGGCATACTGTTAATCACCACTGCAGAACAGAACGCTCATTGTGCGACCTTTATGAACTGTCATGGTGATTTCATTCACAGAGATTGACAACCTTCACAGCTTCCTCACGTTCACCCAGTTTCCTGTGGGACATCAATTCCCATCCCCTCTTTACTCCTACCTAAAATACCTCGCAAAGAAAATCAAACACAAATGAAAAGTATCAGAGTTAAGTTCATGGGTCCACAGTCTTAACTAAAGTCCTTATAGGCAAGCCTCGCCACTCAGCAGCCATCTTGGCAACACCCTCAGGCAGTTATTTCGGGCAAGCTGACCAGACCCCTTTTTAAAGGAATGGGGAGAGAGCCAGAACTTCACTCTCAATGGTCACTGGGACATAAAAACTGCATGAGATGATGTCTTTAAAAGTACACTCAGCTTTTTAATGCACAAATTCAAAATGTGCATATAAACAAGTGGAGGGAGACACACTTATTGTCTGTGTGTCAACATCGATGATGTGCTGTGAACACCACCGGTTTGTTTGCTAAATAGCAGTTTTGAGTCCAAACATTTTCAATGAAAAGACCAATGAGCTAAGTAGGTGACATGGTCGAATTTATCAAAAGACTGAGCTGAAATCTAGCCGAGGCTATTATTGTAATCAGGTTAAGCTCCGAGTTTTAGTGTGTATCTAAGTAATCTTTGTGAGTGTATGAGTCAGTGAAATGTGTTACCGACAGTGGATGTGTAACCCAGAGAAAGATTTTGCTGCAGTAGACCTACATACGAATCCCCATGAGAGAGGTATAACCATTACTGACGATAGGCTCGTCTGACAGCACCGTGTACCCTTGTAGGCATGCTTCGTTAAGTGTGTGCGTGCACGTCAGCGTCTGTATATGCAATGTGCTTTGACAAGGCCATAAATTTCTACTTTAATTAGATTTTGCCCTTTTCCTACCTCACTCAATCCTTAATTCGGGCCTGCTATCAGCAGAGTGGTGGAGAGCTCGACAGACCCATTCATTGCAACACTAGACATCCCCTGCTTCTCTTGTTGTTGTCACATACACACACACACACACACACACCCTCAGTGGGTCTATCAATCTACTCAGCGTTTCTCTATGGCTCAATTGATTTAATTCCATCTGTAGCAGGTTCCACTTCTCAGAAAAATAAAAGTGCAGAGCCAATGCAGGTTCACTAAGTGACATCAATCTAATTTAAGGCCACTCGCAAGTGTTTTGTTCTTCTCTTCAGCCAGATGTTTTAGCAAAATTAGATTAGGTCCTTTAGTTGTTGCGTCTTACAGCTCATTCTTTGTCTGGCTGTTTCTGTGACAGTCTGCTCAGCCAACCGTTTTTGAAAGCAGACTTATGACTCGTCTGAAAGCTCACGTACATAAATAACTCTTCCATTGTACACTTCAAGTTGAAAGAGAAATATCACAGATTGTCACAGCATTTCACTACCTAAGAAACAGGCTCCCTTCACACTGCACTTTGCGTGTCTACAAAAACAGCAACGGGTCAGTGAGTTTGTAGAAGCTGAGTTGATGGTTATAAGTTGTTTATGCACCGCAGTGTGTATATACTGTGTCCACTTTAAATGTGTTTTTTCACGGGTGTGTGTTTGTTTTGCTTGCTATGGCACTCCTGTGTTCTTCATGAAGTGTGTATGTGTGTGTGCGTGTGTATGTGTGTGCACCTGCTGTTTGAAGCTGATTGCCCGCAGCACGCCGCCTGTGACAGGAAACATTTGAGCCTGATAAGTGTGCAAATGGAGAAAGTAGCAATCATTATGGGTTGTTTGAACATCATGTCTATGCATGCTGCAATGTATGCTAACTGATTATGTGTCAGGTTGTTTGCATGAATATGTACCAGTTTTCTTGGGCAGCTGCAAAGATGATTCGTGTCCAGTTTTGCATGGATAATTGGAGACCAGTATGCATGCAGCGTGCAACCTGCCCAACATGACTGTAGAGCAAACTGTGCGTATATAGGTGGTTCAGTGTATGCACACATTATACGTGCTGTTCCTGGACGCCTGCATAGTAGGAGCAGCATGTAATTAGAATGCAGAGCATGTGTTCATTTGCCGATATATTACTCTGTACGATGTGGACATAAAGGGGGAAGGGAAGCATATATAGCTTGCTGGACACGTGATACATGCGCATGTGCTGCCCTGCTGTCTGCGGATGCAGCAGAGTTTAAGTAAAACAAAAATGGTGGCAGTGGAGTATGGAAGCTACATGGCTGAATAAGTCATGTGTCCCTGCTGAGCTCCCATCACTGCTGCCAGAGATACATAGAGAGTGTGGGCTGCGAGTTGCCTGCACGCTGTGTGTGTGTGTGAATGTGTGTGAGGCAGAGGTGGAGAGAAGGCGGCGAGGACCAGAGGGTATCTCTGCGTGAAACGGGGGGAAATATTGCACTTTTGTAGATCAGAGGACAGAGCAAGGGTATTCAGTCCTTTTTGTACAAATTCATAAGAGAAAATGAGACGAGTTCAGTGATCAGGTGGTTTTCTATTTTTCCTGCCATCCACTCAGCCTTTCATGTTCCCACATTAGTCATGCTGTTTTCCTCATTGATGGTCCCTAAGGGATGATAAATTTTTACTGCAGTGGATTGAATGCAACCCTCTTCATGATCTAACAAATTACTGCTGATGTAATGGTCCAGCACTGGTGTGTGTGGTGAGCAGTAGCCAGGGTCCTTGCCCCGGATACTGTTCAGCTGTCCAGCATGAAGCAGACGACATGTTGCGCAGGCTGTAAATCTTCTGTTCTGCCATGGGTGTGGTCGACGACTCTGTGATGCAGTCTTCTGCTGCCATGATTTTTTACGGGTGAAGCCGCCGAGCCAATTACCAAATGGATTTAGTGGGAATGAGTCTGAGGAAGGGAAGGAGAGAAGGACAGAGGGAGGCGTTTATGTCTGAGTGTGAGACAAAGGTTTGAGTGTGTAAAGGGTGTGTTTGTGGGTGTGTTCACTCCTGCTGCAGACATGTGGCAGATGTGATAGATATTGGAGAAAATGCTTTGTGGAAATAGTGTTTTTCTCTCTATCAGAACCACATATTTACTTCTCAGTTTTCAAACCTAACAATGATATTTATTTTCATGATATTGAGTTTCCCTAAGGTCTCAATGCCTACTTCTCTAACTGATTTAGTTCATAGTATGTACTTCCTTTGTGACTAATGTAGATGTAATATGGATAATTATTGGATCATCATTATTATATCCTCAGTATTTTATACAGTCTATGGAGATGGCTCTGCTGATACTAAAGCCTTATTTTCTGTTTTGTTCTGTCACACAGAAACAGTTGAGAGAACGTTACAAATTTAAAAAAGCCTAAGAAGATCCGTGGGCTTTTAACATTTTTATTAAAACTAAACTCTGTTAGATTTATTATTAAGTTTGGTTTTATACATTTTCCTTTTGTAGAGGAGTGGCACAAACAATATATAGAGCATCTCACCTAACATTGGATATGGTAGACACTCAATCGCCACTCCTGCAGCAATTATTTACTTTGAATTTTATCTACATGTAAAACAAAGAGCCTCAGGGTCCACACTTCCTGCTTTGCTGCAGCTTCAGAGCAGTGTGACAGGCAGGCAGATAGCACTGTGACTTAAGGCTACCGCAGTGACTTCCAACTAGTCTCCATACAGATACCTTGGGAAAGGAAGGAACTGCAGTTGTGATTACACTTAGAGAGGAGAGTCCTGATCAGGTTCATTTTATAGTAAAATTCCCACAGTGCCCTCAGTCACATGACTGTGTCCTCCCTGAAGTGGCTGAGGCCACTTTTACCAAGGATAGAGATCCTGCCTCCACATTTCTGCTGCTTAATTAACACAAGATCATCTTTAATTTGCTGCTTGTCTCGAGAAGAGGGAGGTCCTTCTACCATAGCTTGTTGCCTTTGCTGCAGGCAAGATGTCTGCCTGCATGCTTGCTTAGCTCCTGCTTACTCATTTGCCCCCTTCATGGTGCATCTTATTATTTAAATCATAGCCTAACTCTTGTTGTATCTGAACAAAGCAGCACCAGCAGGCAACCTCGTTTTTACACACATTAATCCTTTCTCCGCTGCAATGATTGAGGAAATGTGTAGCTGCAATAAAACCAAGGTGAACTTTTAAGTATTTTGCTGTGTGCATCAATGCGCCTGCAGTGACTAACTGTCAGTCATCAGATTTTTCAGCTCTAGTGCATTTCTGGGCCTTCTGGTTAACATTTGCATTAACCCCAATCTATAGTGTTGTTTCTCTCAGCATGGCCTGTGGTGAAATATGAACAATGACCACGTTCTATTTTCCTTCTGACACAAGCTGCTCATTGAGTTAAATCTGGCACAAAGTGGCTTGATTTAAAGACAGCAATAACACTTTTAGTCTTCTCTGTCATTCAGCTGACAGTGAGCTTGATTACAGAATGAATGGAAGCTTAAAATAATTCAAGCATCAATGCGTTATTGTTTTCAGACATTGTCACCATGTTAAACAACATCTAATCTCAGAACACACAAGATCTCATTTTACTGTGGCCTGGTGTCATAAATACAATAATAGTTTTTCAGCTGTGCAGATTGCCTTCTTTGATAACACACTGATATAAGATAATGTGTAATCGGATGAATATTATCTGCCTCCTCTTTCCCATCTCTCTCTCTCTCTCTCTCTCTCTCTCTTTTTTCTCTCTCTCTCTTTATCTCCCTCGCCTCTTTCTTTCTCAGTGGCCTGGTTATTTTCCAGTGCTCTTAAAAGTACTCCTGCCTTTTTGGATTATCCATATTCCTTTTATCAGACAGATTATTGTGAACACTGTGTCTGAATATCCCTTCAGCATACTTCATCTCCACTGCCAGTCTCTGTATCCTTTAATTCTCCCCATTCTCCTCTGTCTGTAATTCTATTCTTATCTTTTCCTCTCTAATTCAGGCATCACAGAACTTATTCTCATTTCACCTTTTAACTTCTTGTTCACAATTTTAGGCTTAAAATCTTAACATCTCACTCACTGTTTCCCAATTTAAGATCAGGAGATAGAGCTTTGTGGTAGAGCAGCGTTATACAGAGGACATTTTAGATGGAATTTTTTTTTTTGCTCAGACTAGACTAAACTTTCCTCAGCCAGCTCTGCAGTTCAGGCAAGGATTCGATGCAACTTTGTCCCACATTTTATCACTCTGCCAGCTGATAATCATTTTCATCTCTGTGTCTTTTAAACTGTCTCTATAACAAAATTGTAAGAGGGCCTTGTTTTGCCACGAGAACATTAGCGCATTTACTCGCAAATTTCCTTGTCAGCATTTTCCAGTAAACACAATCTCCTCCAAATGCAGCCAGTCAATGCATCACAGATGAGTCTGTGTGGTTTTGCTTAGCCAGAAGGGTTTCATATTAGCTGAACAGCACAGACATGATCCGGCAATCTCAATATCACTAGCACACCTTTCACTACCCCAAAGCCAATTATAAATGATGTGGATCAGCTGTAAAAGCTGGTTTGAACTTTTGACGTGACCACACCCCTATTGTGTTGCCACCCGTTGCTCCCTGGCTTTAATCTTACTTCATGTTACCAAACCGTATTCCATTACATTTGCCAGGCTGCGCATAGCACGCACTACTTCATTGCCCTTACACAATGACTGCGCCTCTAACACAGCCCGCGGTTCCAACTGGGGGATTTGGAGAAGTTATTTTTGTTCTCCTTTCAGCATTAAAGATTAACATGGTCTCAGCCATCTTCACTCTCCCTCTACCTCCCGCCCGTTGCCTGTTCTCTTTCTGCCAGTACAAACTCAATTCTTTATTTAGAAACAGGCAGTTAGTGTAGCATGGGCTCAGGAGATTGCACACCACAGCCTTGTCAGGACTACTAGATGTAGGTTACTTCGCTCAGATGTGACATAGAATCCAGCTTTTGGGCCAGGCAGGCCGCCAGAGCAGGCAAGCTGATGCATACTGCCCCAAGTGTCATTCCCTTGTGAGTACAGGATGCAGACTGGGGTTGGGACGCCTGTTTGCGGTCCCTTGTGACTCACCTTCCAAACTGCATCGCTTCGCTTCATAGGCCCTCAGGGGAGTTTGTCATGGGGCCATGGAAGAGTGAGCTGGGCCTGGGCCTGTTACTAGTGTTTCAGATGCTAATATACTAAGAGCCAGTTCATAATAGACGAGAACTTGTTTGTACGACATGTTGTCAAACTGCATCTGAAGGCAAAAGTGTTTAAAGCTGTTCCGAACAGCTGTGCTGGAAGACAGGGTTTCATAGAGAGGGGCAAGACGCAATAATTGTTTAAACATGGGAGTAACGGTGCATATCATGAAATGCTATTTGTTAAAAGTCTGCTATAATGAGAGGTGTGCGTCTGCCTTCCTGTCTTTGAGAGGACTGATGCCACATCTGTGAAAGGTTTTTCAGGTCAGGGCCTTGCCTGCTGGTGCACCCATTAAGAATGGTCTGTTCTGTCTTTATGAAGTGGAAAGCCTTGACGTCCTTGTATTGTTTCAGTCCTGTAAGCTTTGCAAACAGCCCTGCAGGTGTTTGTGCTGTTTCTTCTGGCAGTAAGTAACGAGTGAGACGTCACAGTCTCGCTCCCTGTCACAATCACTCAGAGACACTTGCAGCACAGGGTTGAGACCTGATGTTTCCCGCTAGCTGTAAGTGACTTGACAACTCAAACGCTTGAGTCACCTTAAATTAATCTTCATCCTTAATGTTTTGTAAATAGGGAAATCACCATCTTATTGAGCTCACATATGTCTGTCTCATGAGGGACCAGCAGAGAGAGAATCATGAGTTAAAATGAACATTTGCACATTTAGTCAGCTTTGTTTCTCTGCCCCAGTTCTCTGTGAGGTGATATTTCTCTTAACCCTGTTCTTTGTGTTGTTTCTTCAGGCCCACAACCGGCACGGCAGCATCATCTCGTCCGGCCACAGGCTCAACCCGGCCACCCACTGCCAGCACAACCAAGAGCTCCCCAGCTACAGCCAAACCTGCCACCCCTAAAACTTCCACCACTGCTAAGCCTGCTGCCTCCAAACCAACCTCCACTACCCCCTCTGGTGGCAAAGCCCCAACATCACAAACATCCAGGACTTCAACCCCTGTGAAAAAAGGTTAAAAAATAAAAAAATTAAAAAAAAGTATATGTATTGTATTTTAAGATTATGGATTATAAAATCCCAAATTTCATCCGTAATTTGAATATATACATTATGCTGTGTTTTAGTTCCATTATAACATTGTTTAACCGTTCCTTGTGCTCTGTTTTCCCCTAGATGTTACCAAACCGGCCACCCCAGCGGCCAAAAAGTCTGCAGATTCTCCCCTTACCCGCGCTGCATCTACAACAAAGTCAACAAAACCTGAGACCCCCAAATCCGCCTCAAAATCAGATGTCACCGCCAAAAAGCCTATTGCTACTAAGGCTGCAGACACAAAGACACCTAAAAGCTCCAAAACGCAAGACAGTAGGCCCACGCCTTCCAAGACGCCTGCCTCCAAAACGGCTGCAGGCAAGACCTCCAGCCCCAAGAAAACTGTGGGCAGCAGCACCCCCACTCCAGTGAAACGTGGCCCCAAAGCTGCAACAATTGCTGAACCTGAGAAGGAAATTGCTGCAGCCGTCGCTGCTGCGGCAGCCATCGCTACTGCAGCAGCAGTTATTGCTGGACCACAGGAACCAGAACCTCCTGCAGAAGTAGCTGTGGAGCCTGTTGCTGCAGCTCTTGAAGCTGTACCAGAAAAAACTTCAGAGCCCACACCAGAACCAGTCTCAGCACCAGTGTCAGAGTCAGTGCGTGAACCAACACCAGAACCCGTACGTGAACCAACACCAGAACCCGTACGTGAACCTTCCCCAGAGCCCGTACGTGAACCAACCCCAGAGCCCGTACGTGAACCAACCCCAGAGCCCATACGTGAACCAACACCGGAGCCCGTACGGGAACCAACACCAGAGCCCGAACGTGAACCAACACCAGAGCCCGTACGGGAACCAACACCAGAGCCCATACGGGAACCAACACCAGAACCCGAACGTGAACCAACACCAGAACCCATACGAGAACTAACACCAGAACCTGTACAGGAACCAAGTCCATACCAAGTACGGGAAATATCTCCAGAACCCCCGTCTCAGCTGTCAGCAGAGCCAGAACTACAAGTCCATGAACCACTCTCCAGTGTTCAGCTGTCAGCCCAGTCGGACCTTTTCAAATTTGAAGAGTCTGCCAACGACTCGGTTCCTTCCCTGGGAACAACTGTCATGTCTCCTCCTTGTTCCCCACCAGGCCCCGTTTCTCCTGTCAGAGAGCCACAGGACGCCTCCTCTCTGCTGGACATGCATGTCCAGTCTGATCCCTGGGACAGGAGCCAGCCCCTGGCCTCGTATGAAATTCCTTCCCAGAGCGAGGTCAGTATGATGAACTTCCAGATAGAAGACGAAAAGGAGAATAAAGAACACTTTGAGGAACAGGAGACAAGGGAAGAGGAAGAGGAGGAGGAGGAGGAAGAGAAGGAGAACCTCTTTATGCCTACCTCCATGGCTCCACCTGCAGAGGCCTTTAGTATGATGGCTCAACCTCACTCACCCATGGATGATTTCACCACCAGGGGCCTGATCTCCCCTCATGAAAAGGAGGAGGCAGTGGAAAAGGCTGATGAAGAGATCAATGAGGATGATGACGAAGAGGAGGAGGATGAAGATGAGGAACAGAGGAGACTAGGCCATCAGCCGTCATCCATGATCACCGACATGAGCATGTCTCAGCCCTCTGATGAGTTCCAAGTCCGGTCCTCAGCCTTTGGCGGTTCAGCAGGTTGGCACGGTGACGACCTGCTGTCTGGGATGGACTCTGAGGACGTGAGCAGCTGCACCAGCAGTCGGCTGCAGGGAGTGTCTGACCTCAGCAGCACCCAGCACACTGCAATTTTGGAGGGCACCCAGAGCTCAGACGCACTGGTCGACTCAAGCCTCCGTGGCTCTGAGGGAGATGGTAATCTCATGTGTTCTCCCAACGTCGAAACCCTGGCCAACGAGGAGGAGGAGGACGAGGACGAAGAGGATGAGCGGGTGGATGATATGGACCTGAGTTCAGAGAGAGTAGAGGAGCATCACAAGGTGTTCCAGCAGCAGGAACATGATGAGGAGGACGATGAAGATGTAGAGATGCACAGTGAAGGCGTGACAGAGAGCTGTGGGAATGCAGATGAAGATGACTTTAATGAGGAGGAGCGTTTAGACAACCTCAATCGCTCTGTTCCTCCGCCTTGCATGCCCCCAGCCTCCTCCTGGGGTCAGACCAACCCCTTCTGTGATACCTGGGGTCAACCAGCCTCGCTGCTCTCTGTCTCCTCCCCGAGCCCTCTGTCTGACCATGGTGCAGCTGAATCTGAAACACCAACTCTGTCTCCCGCCAAGGCATGTTTGGACAGCAGTGGCCCTTCCTTTGTTCCTCAGTCAGAGGAAGAGCCCCAGCAGCACGAGGAGATGAAGGGTTCAGCCAGCGAGGAGGCTCACATCCTGCTTGCTGCCCCAGCTGTAGGCATGTCTCAGTCCAGCACTCTGAGTGGCACCGGTCTGGCTGCCCACAGCAGCAGCGAGACGAGCACACCTGAGGAACTCCGCGATTACGACAGCAGCTCTGGGGTGGAGTCCCGTTCAGACAAGCAGCAGACTCCAGTGCCTGCTTCAGTCCAGCCTGACATGGAGCAGGATCTGGGTATCCACTTGGAGAAAGGCGATGGAGAAGAAGAGGAGGCTGAGACACTCCCTGCCGACGAGGTCCTGGGAACCGGACCCCCAACTGCTCCGGCGTCCGCCCCGTCTTCCCCCTCCACCTCGGGAGACGAGGCCAGTGATACAGAGGGTGAGATGCAAATAAACGACCCAGATGCGCCGATGATGATGGGTGAGAGCGCTGGATTTGAAAGCCCCACTCCCACCTGTAATCTGCCCGCTCTTGAGGAGGATGAGGAGGCGGGCGACACACCCGCCGGAGAGGGCGAAGAGGACGGAGGCGGGGCAACCCCTCAGTCAGCCAACTCTGTGGCATCTTACGGCTTCGACTGCACCACATCCAACTCCAACGCCCACTCCATGGCCGAGAGCTGCGGAAAGAGCCCGGGGATCTTCTCCCTGGAGAACGAGGAGCAGCTGCCTGAGGAAGCCAAGGACCCCTCCCTCATCAAGGAGCTGACCCTGCCATCAGCTGCTGCTGCCGCTGCCCAGGCAGAGAACCTCCTGGGTAGACCCGTGGACCTGATGCCTCTGGGCCTCCCAGGAGACATCCAGTCCAGTTTCGATGAGCACCACTACATGCTGGGGGGAAAGGTTGCAGCAGACCACCTTGGGGAAGACGATCCGTTGGAGCCCAGTCACCATCTTGTGGCCGAGGAATCTGGAGACACCGGCGACAACCAGCCGCCGTACTACTCGACCATTTGTGATAAGACTGATAGTTTTCTGGCAGGTAATGTATAAGTCCCTCCTATTACCCCCGGAATGCACCTTTTCCCCGCAACCCTCCCCTTTTACCTGTTGTTCGTTTTCTCTCCAGTTGGGTTAGATGGCTTAGAAGAAAAAAAAAAAGGAGAGCAAGATTGTAGGAAAAGATTTTAAAAAAATGAACAAAGGAGATGGGAAAAAAATGACTGTAGCAATTTTTAAATGAAGCCTCCCTCTTTCATACTGTTATGGTCATGGTTATGAGTGTATGGCTTAAACTCCTTTATGTACAGTAGCCACTACCATTTTCTAGTAGAATGTTCTTTTTAAGTAACACTGCATATTCTGTAGCCCCTGATGGGGTATTGACTGATTGGTCCAATGTGACTGAGCTTTTAAACCGAAAAAGAAAAAAAACAAACAGATGGAATGAAATGGACTCATTGTGTATTTATCCTACTGTTTTTACCGAACAAATGTCAATGATTTTTTTTTTTTTTTGGTTTTGTATTTGCTTATTTGTTTATTTTTGTTTGTTTTGTTCTGTTAAAACCTGGTCCTCCCTACCCTGTGTACACACGCTTCATGTTCAACAGCACCATAGCGATAGTCACATGCTCCTTTTTAAAAGGTTGTGTTCTTGTTTCAAGACTTTTAGCTGTCAAAATAAAGGCTAGATATTAACACGGCTGTTTAGCCCTTACAGATTTGTTGAGGTAGGTATGGGAGTATTAGATTGCAGTTGGTGAAGTTTTTACTGTGTGCTTCAAGAGGTTCTGCGCTCTTTGCATAGGTCGTTAAGGTATATAAAGTGCAGTCACGTACAGTATGTGTTTCAGGCGTTTTGGTTTTAAGTGGCTAAGCTTCAAGCCTCAGTTAGCTGATCATTTGTGTTCCAGAAGAGACTAACAACTAGCCTATTATTTGTGATGAGACCCTGCATTGTCCTACATCGCTATCACAGCTTTACACTCGCTGAAACGTTTTCATAGTGGGCGTTTGGTTTACTATTTCAACAGTATATTGCATGTTTAACTAACAAAAAGACTGTGTACTACCTTGAATTTGAAACAATTCTACACTAGACATGTTCATAAATGAATGGTTCACACTAGGTTATCTTTCAAAATTCCATTAAAACATCATTGCAAGGCATTTTGTTCCTGTTTCTTATTTTCCCTATGGATCCAGCATGCCTGAACTTACTGTCCTCGTGTTTGAATCGCTGTGTATTTGTGTGTTTGCACAACGACTTTCCCATAGCATCTCCTACTTTACCCCATGGGAATAACTGTTAAACAGGAAGTGATGCAACATTGTACAATGTTGTATCTAAAATGGAATTTTGGTTCGAAATCAAAGAGGTAATCCAAATGGTGTCCCAGTGCCCTACTCTCCAGCATGCTTGTGCCTTCATGACGATCTCAGATTCAACTCTAGTTGAACATCACATTGAAAACACATGCTTGGTAGGGGAGACTCAGTTAAAGGTGCCCTGTGGAGTTTTCTTGTAAACAAACACAAGTTTATCCTCGAGGTCTAACAGATGGGGTTGAGGTATTTCCCTTCTCGTAAAACATTTGCAAAGACAAATATTTTAAATTCTACATTGTTTAGGTCCATGTTTGCAATTTTGCAGTTTTCTTCTTTGTCGGCGCGCTGTCAATCAGGAATCCAGCAGCCAACATACTTGTACAAACAAAACAGGGACCCACTTATAAAAATATTGCTCCATAGCACTACCAGTGGTGAAAAACTTCACAGGGTATCTTTAACAGAAATCAGACAGGAAGTGCACCACACACCTTACTTCCCTTCTTCATAATTTGTATGCACAGGTACCTCAAACACTCAAACAAGGTGAAACCTGCTCAGATCTGTCCACATCCTCCTGAATGTTCCCCTCGCACATTCAGCACATAGAAACACAAACATGCACACAGACATACTGGAGCATCTCCTCTCCCTACAAGCCACAAGAATGCATCTGAATGCTGAAGCTCAAGAAGACCAAACACTCTTCTCCCTTTCATGCCTTTTTCCTCTGACCTGCCTGCTCCTGTTCATCAAAACCCCAACATGGAAACACCCCCCCCCTCCGTGTCAAATTCAAAATCAAAATCACACACACGCCTCTAAACCTGAAACTTCTCTGGTTTGTGATATGGGGCATCATTTCTTGCCTTTTGAAAAATATACAGTTAAAAAGTGGCACCCAAAGTTAGGTGAATCAGCTGCATAATATTTGTGGCTTGGTGATCATGAATGGCACAAGACAAGATGTACAGTACACTTTCATATGTCCATTATCAGAGTCAGTTCTGTGTGATGTTTTTGTCAGTTTTATTCCCCATGTGTTCATTTGTCTATTCAAATACCTGTCGTCTGTATCATACTGTGTATTTATGGCTGCTGTCTTGATAACCAACTTATTCCAAGAGGACAAAGAAACCTATTGTTCTGTAGTCCACGTTAGTAAATCAATCACACTAAACTATGGTTATATTAAAGGAAATACAACTTCAGAGAGAAAACAACTTGCAGTAACTACCTTATGATGTGTTCCTCGTTCCTGGTGTGTTGATACAGTATACAGTATTGTACTCCTGTGTCATGGATGTCACTTTATTTTGAGAACCCCTTTCTTTTTGCGTCACACCTTCGCCTTCACCTCTTGTCAGATCTCTCCTGAACCCTCTTCTTCCTGGCCCCATGTTGTTTTTCCACCCGTTCTGTTTGATGCATGCATCTCCAATGGATGCACCAAGTGACCTTGACTGTCTCACAGGAGACGAGAAGAGAGGTGAAGTGGATGGAGACCACAAGCTGCAAACACACTCGCAGGAAGACAACCAGAACCAGAACCACACTACCACTGTCCGTTTAGCCAATGGCCACTACTTGGCATTGGTGCCGGGCAACAGGAGGCCCATTGACCCGAATCTGGCAGCACATTTTGCCAAGATCGCACCCCCTCCTCCTTTGATAGAGACCGGCGTGGACAGTCGTGGTGGCGGGGAGCAGTTGAGGAGGCTGGAGCAGCACCAACAGAAGCTGAGAGAGATGCAGCACCGCCAAGAACAAGAGAGGCAGAAGAGGCAGTGGCTGGAGGAGGAGCGGTTGAGGCTGGAGCAGCAGAAGCAGCTGGAGAAGCAGCGCAGGGAGCTCCTCCAGCTGCAGCTTCAGCAGCAGCAGCAAGAGCACCGCCAACGCAGGCAGGTTCTGCAGTGGCAGCTGGAGCTGGAGCAGCAGTACCGTATGCAGCAGAAACAGATCCAACAGCAGCAGCAGCTGAGGAGGAGCCCCACTGGAGTCATGGTCTCCCCCTCCTCAGGGCTCTGCACCATCTACGAAGCCATGGAAACCAGCGACGAGGAAGACGAGGCCAGAGGAGAGCAGAACAGGAACAGACAGGTGGCAGGGAAGAGGGCGCCGTCCTCACAGAGCGCCACTCAGGGTTTCCACCGGCAGCTGCGTCCAGTGCCACCGCAGGACCTGGAATGGAACAAGAAGGTGGACATGGTGCAGCAGCTCATCAACCAGACCTTGATGCTGTCTGGAGATGGGGGCTGCCCACCTCTGCTCCTCCTCCCTGTTGGGACAGGGGGCACCCTAAGCCCCTTGGAGAGCAGCATGTGGCCCAACATGCTGCCACAGTTCAGCCCTCCTGCCGCTACAGTCACCTCCGTCAGCAGCTACTCCCCAGACAGTCAGGGCAGCTCCCCATCCGGAGACTGGACTGTGGTGGAGGTGGAGACCCAGCACTAAGACCACCAACCAACAGGTTGATCAACCAGTAAATAAACCAATCAAAGGAAATACGCTTTTTGGCTTTCTGGTGGAGAATTAGATGAGGAGATTGATTCCTCTCTCATGTCTGTACACTAAATATGAAGCTACTACTAGCAGTTAATTAGCTTAGCTTATTTAAGCTTAGCATAAAGAATGTAAACAGGGGGAGACAGCTAGCCTGGATCTGTGCAAAGGTATCAAAATCCACCTGCCAGCACCTTGTAAAGTTCACTGATTATCACGTTACATATAGTTTGTGTAATCCATACAAAACCACAGCATAAAAATGAGAAATTCTCATGTCATAGATGGGCTATTTGATCATTTATTAGTCTCCCCATGAAGCACAAATGGTTTTTACATTTCCATTGAAGAAACAAGATAAAAACGTGTTAGTTTGTGATGGTTGGTGGAGCTGGTTTGTCACCTTCAGACTGATCTCAGATAGCTGTTTCCACATTACCAGTCATTATGCTAAGCTAACAACAGTTATGAGAGTGAGATTTATTGGTCTCACCTAACTCTCCATGAGAAAGCCAATAAGCATATTCCTCAAAATGATGAACTACTCCTTTAATCATTAATATGCAATTCACCAGTGACAGATTTGTATCTGTACTTAAACAAAACATTATCGTAAAACATATCGCACAACGCAGTCTTATCTGAAAGGATAAGAATAGTGATCACTACATAACGTTTTTAATTCAGTCACAAGTCAGATCATCATATGACCACACAAACTTGACTTTCAATTGATTTCAGATCAACATCCTTATTATCAGAACAAATAGACTGTAGATACACTGTGTCATTGATTACTGTTACCCAGACACGCATACTGTAACCTCACATTAGAGCATGTTTCCGTACCAGAGGCACTTAATAGCACTTAGTGGCACTCCTCAGCTGTCTGACTCTGAAATGCACTGTAGCTGCTTTAGAAACACTGTCGTCATGTGCTGTGTGGGGCAGCGCTCCACTGTTCGTCTCTTTTGTATGTGTCACAACCAGATACTGAGACCAAATGTTGGTCACCCTCTAAAATGAGGACTTGAGCTATGACAAATTGCACTTGTTATTTCTTCTATTTTTCTTTTATTTATTTTTTTATAGTGTGGGCCAGTGTTCATACAGGTAAGTGGCAGTACTGTTAATAGATTTACATGTTTGTGGACTTAGGAATCCTAAATCTTCAAGGTGAAGTGTGTGTGGAAATATTTGAAACAACCCCCATTGTGTGTATAATGTGATAAAGCCTGTGGGAAGATGATGCTGTGATATAACCCCCCCTCCCCTCCTCCTCGCACCCTCACGTCACCCAGTCTCCAGTCAGTAAATGTTACTGTGACTTCACTGGACAACCAGGTTTTTATGGACTTAATAGAGCCGTCAGTCATGGAGGAGGAGGAAGAGGAAGAGGAGGGGAGGGGGTGGGGGCGTGTGGGAGAAGAAGGCCCTCCTTGTTCTACTGCAAATGGAGGGAGAACAGAGGGGAGGCTAGCAGGGTGCTGCACTGGTGGGGGTGAGGGTGCCGGTCGAGGTGGAGGGGGGCGGGGGCAGGGGCGTAGCTGTTGTCTTCCCTCTCACATTCCAAAGTTGTAACCTCATTTCCTGGGTCGGCC